TCGTACTCTCTAAGTGGGCCCCTTTATACCATTAACAGGAATAATGCTAATTTTGAAACCCTGCCCATGTGCGAAATTTTCCGCTTGTCAGTGTCATATTTGACAGTACATGGGGCGCAAATGGGGCTCCCATTTACTGAAATACCATGAATTTTCATCCTTCCATTTCAAAGGTTAGTACCCCAGGTAATTTCCGTTACCATATGTTCGTTATGTAAGTTGATTGAATTCTATTTTTCATATTTCGGTTTTATGGTATATACATACTTTTATATTAAGTGTGTAATAAAGTGTATAACTCTTTTCGAAAGCGCCATTTACTATTACTACATATACGTCCTGTTTATGATGTCCCTGGGAGCAAAAAAATTAACGTTTCTGGGACGACTCGCATGGGATCTGCATGAGATATATGTGCGATACAAAGGACGTCCTAAGGACATCCTACCAAGGATCATCCCATGCGGGATAACGGGGATTGAAATAGAACTTCCCACGTACCATTTGTGCTTGCTGGGAATTATGCCTACATAATTATGTTAAAAACGAAAATAAAGTCCAACATGAGATTTTTAATTGCCCACCAGAATTCATTAATATAGAAGAGCAATGAGATGAATCCTTTCAACTCCATTGGCCGATTTCCTGCCAATAGAGCAGCACGCACATGGAGGAACGTATAATTATGACTTTATTATCCTACCCAAAATTACATTGTCTACATGTGAGAATATATGTAAATAATAAAGGCATCTTAATAAACACTTCTCGTCCGTTTTAATTAATCAATATTTACTAATCGCACTTATCTTCAAATACCAGTAACACCCTACTGGGAAGAAGAAAAACATATTTTAAAGCATTTTTTGTTTAATCTCCAAAGTCCTCACTTAAAATTTCGACAATTTTAATTTTTTTAATTCTGCTCTTTTGTTCCTATTTCGTTTAGGCTTAAACCATCATATTGACCAAGGGACAGATTTTGTCCGGTTTTTGTTTATCCTTTAAATATTTATTTAACGATGTGTTAAGTGTCCGTTCTTTCCGACAGTGGCTGAGCTCTACTTTTTCGCTGTCCTGTTGACCTCTTGCATTTGATTGACCAAGTAAGATTTGGGTTGGTGGATTTGGAAGTAAAACTGGGTCACTTCCTATCACTGCATCTTCGGTTGGGCTTGTGGATGTGCCAGTGACCTCCGAAAGGGAATCTGATGGATTCTCCTTCGCTGACCCGGATGTATACGGAACAACAGGCAAATCGAAATCGTTGCTGGTTCTCCTATAATAATATATGTTAGCTCTTGTTGATATGATGTCATATACGCAAAACCAATGCCATAAATATCGAACCAGTAATTAATAAACAAAACCAAATCAGCGGCCATCAATCACCAGTCTAATGTATTCCAAGAAGGCAAAATTCCTAAGAGAAAGTAATCTGCAAAAACACCCCCCAGCCATGATGCCGGGAATCATGACTGAATCATATTCAAGCAATAAAAGCAATACTCAACGATTATTTTCAGCTTACTATTACTTGTCTCTCTGTATGTGAGAGCATATCTCACTATATCATTATCACTATATCCTCTTGTTCTTGGCCAATTGTATTATTTTTTAAACTCTAACATATATTATTTTTTAAATTATTTTTTATGCTAAAGTTAAAAATCACAAAGTCATGGACAGGATCGGCAGGATACTGGAGAAACAGAGAGTCAAAACAGTTTTTAAACCATCTCGAACAATCCAACAGATTTTGTTGTCTGTTGGATGGTTCGAGTTGGGTTAAAAATGGTTTTTACTTGGTGTTTCTCCAGTATCTTGCCGATCCTGCCCGTGACTCCATGTATGTACGGGAGGCAAGCCTAAATATTGCGCTCATCATGCGTCTGTGTTGTCTCCCAGCGATCTTCACTGTTTTTTGGTCGAATTGCTCAATTGAAATTGTTGAATAAAAATATGTTATTTTTAATGTCTTAGTATAAGTTAGGTATAGCTTTCTCAAATGTGTTGCATGTGTTTGGGTCCTCAGGTAGCATCATATGTTTAGGGATGCACTGACCGCTGCGACGTTGTAGTTTTTAGTAAAGTGACAACCTCCGGGAAAGTAACTGCGTTTACTTGGTCGTCACGATATTCAAACGTTTTTTGTCTTTTGTTCTTATCACGTTCAATAAACATTTATTATCATTACTCTGCCTGATCAATTGAGTACCTCAGAAGAAACTCAATAGAAATCTTTCTTACTGTATCCATTCCAACCGAAGGCCCTTTCCAGGTGTTTTAATTCTCTCTCTAACTCGACTGGTTCGCAGATTCTTCTGGCTCTTTCGGTGAGAGTTTTGATGACTCCTCTTTTCTGACTGGGATGATGGTTTGAACCACTGTGCAGGTACCGGTCGGTATGTGTCGGTTTTCTGTACACCGTGTGGGCCAGCTTTCCGTTGGTTTTTCTGGTCACCAATAATTTAATATTAAATATTCTTTTCTGAAGTTCCTCGATTGTATTCACTTCTGTTGGATACACGGCATGTTTTAAATTGCCCCAGAAGTAAAAATTAAGCGCGTTTAGATCCAGAGATCTAGGAGGCCAGTTTATAGGAGCTGCTTGACCTTTCATAATACAACGGCCTGGAAAGTTTTGATCAAGCCAATGTCGGACCGGCAAAAAAAAGTGAGCAGGGGCACCATCGTGCATATATCACATTTGTTGTCGTAGTTGGAGAGGTAAAGCTAAAACATCTCCCACTATTTTAGCCCAGACATTGAGAGAACGAGTGTTGGTATTTTGCTGTCATGATAGAATGCCGATTTTCGACAGACCATTCGTGCATATCGTGGTAATTAAAAACGTTTGCTCTTGTAAATTAAGCGTAATCGGTAATCAATATTTGCGGGGTAAATTGCGGGTTTCTAATACGATTACGCGGTTCATGATCTGTTGGTCGTATACTGTTTTAAAGTGGAAAGGATGCATGCCTTTTTTTGATAAAATGCGGAAAATACTAAAGTTTCGTAGCATACAGATTAAAATGTCTTGATGCTGCCCGGATCGATGCTCTTGTCTTGAATTGTCATCAAAATAATCCAAAACCGTGCGTTCTTTTCGAATACTAATTGCATACCCCCTACCTTCATTTCGTTCACAGGTAAGTGTTCCATTGGATCGTACAGGAGCGTCACTACTTTGTTTTCTATCATTTTGGCACGTAAGTTTATGTGGAGCAACATATTTTTTCATTTTTTTCTGCTCATCATTTTTCACTCCATAATATTTTCCATTTGCTTCCAAGCTGCGAAATAAAAAAAAACACAAATTGCACATAACTTACATTGAAATGATCCCCACAGGCGTATACGTTACTTTTTGCAGAAAGATCGGTATAGTTCTGCTGCGCTGCTTTCAACCACAATTTCCGTTTTTTGCGTTTACTGGCACTTTTACAAATCTTTCTCCTGGTGTAGACGTAGTGGTAGTAGTAGTAGTAGTAGTAGTAGTTCTGTGGGGGGGACCTGAATGAGTCCGGCAAGTAGGCCTTAAAAGCCCTTTTTACCATTCCCCCTTCATCCACGCCCGCCTTACTACCCCTCCTCTTCACCACCCAGGCGTCCCGCCTCCCTGACGAAGGCAAGGATCCGTCTCCACTAGGAAAGACAGTTGCGTGCAGGAGAGAGTGGCCCCAAGCAGACGCCTCCTCATGGACGACCAGTGCTGGCATACTCCTAGAAGGTGATACGATGTTTCCTCTGCCGTTCCACATTGTGGATATACGGGGCTAACACCGATTCCAAGTAGGTGTAGGTGTCTGTTCAGACCGCAGTGACCTGTCATGATTTCAACCAGAGTTATCAGGGCCCAGCTACTCCTTGACATCAGCCATTTGGACGTTGCCTTGGCCTCGCCTGGCATTTCGATGAACTCTTTGGCTTGTCTACACCCTTCCGCCTCTCACCACGACTCTGTGGTACCTTTAAGGGCCCAGTCGTTGAGTGCGCTTGCTATCTGTCTGTTACTTAGCCCTATGTGAGGTTCGGCAGTTATTGGGCTCTAAGAAGATCCGCGGCTGGCCAATGCGTCGGCCTGCTCCTTTCCCGCGAAGTCCGTGTGCGCTGGAATCCACACCAGGCTTACCTGTTTCTGTTCTACCGCTTTATTCCGGGCATCCAGCACCCCTGTATCAGTCTACGGCCCTTCCTAACACTGAGAAGTGCATTTAAGGCCGCCTGGCTGTCAGAGTAGATCAATATCTCTTTCTAGTCCTTCTATGACGTCTTGTCTGTGGCAACCTCGAGGATTGCATATATTTCCGCCTGAAAGACAGTCGTCCAGACTCCCAACGAAATGGATGCTCCCCAATTGGTGTCTTGCCGGTACACTCCCGCTCCGGACAATTCTGTACTGGGCGCCCTTGAGCCGTCAGTGTACCAACATTGCACCCCAGTTCGGGCCGTCACCGTCCTAAAAGTCCAGGTTTCTTTTGCTAGCGTTTCCACTTCAGCTTCCTTTGTAACCTATGTCCACCGTCAGGTGGGGCCACCTTTGCACCTAGGAGACGGTACTTGTACACTGTGGCGCCGTACATTACTTAGCCATTTTACTTTTGATAATTGAGAAACAAGTAAACCAACACACAATATTCACATTTGAGCATGGAAACACGCATAAGCTCTGAATCTGGAGGAGCAGAATCCTGCTTGGTGACGTCATATTACGATCACCCAAAACTCGTCGTTTCGGCGCGCTTTGTGAAAGTTTAAACTTTGATTGCTGATTCATTTGTTCGTCATTTATCAGTGTTCATGTAATCAATTTAAAAAAAATGTACAACGACCCCATTGTCCACACAGAAATTTTAAATAACCTGCGCTTTTAGGGATTCCCTCGTTAAAGAATGGTCCAACTTAATGTGCACTTTGAAGGATTATATTTGAAGGTTATAACTCTTAAGACAAAATAGGTAGAACATTTCTTAAAATAAAAGTTTATCACAATCTTAAGTGTTATATTGGTATGTTTCTGAGGAAAAGTTGTCGATGACGTCATTAATGCCATTTCTTAATTTATTGTATTTTTTTCTTTTCGCTGAAAGTGTACCTTAGAGCACCACATTTGAGACGCGAGGTTTAGAATTTAATTATCAGTTTTCGTTTCGGCACAGTAGATCTTGGGCGTCAAATTTGGATCACCCTGGACAGTCTCTAACAGTGTAAAACTTAGTTTCAAGAATTTTTTTTAATATGAGTTTTCATTAGTCAAGGTCTAAATATACGAATATTGCAATTCGGCTCCTTTTTCAATTTCCTGAAACAATGCGTTTTCTGTCACTTCACCCTCCAAACCATGATCCACCTAAACATGCTATGCTAATGCGCACGTGGCGCTGATTTCAGCCGGCTGTGTGACGTAACGTGCGAGAAAAAGTAGACTGGTACAATAATTATCACACGATGCCTGTACACAACAATATATTTTAACTATTTTTGGATACATATTTGATATACATAATTATCAGATTATTTGCTGGAGTGACTCTCTTAACTAGAATGTCTCGCAAAAACTTCACATTTCGTGGTAGGACTATATTAAAATACCTAACTGCAATATCTACGTATTTTAGACACATGTACTTGACAAACAAACAAACTTAATCCATCATTTATTTTTAAAATCTGGTATTACAGTTGTCCTAAAATTATTTTGGTTTGGTTGAAACAGTACGATATAATTTTATTCATAAGTATATACAATTTACATGCAAACATTATATTTTTGACTAATCACAGCAAGCGATAAATTCAAGGACTTGTAAATTGCTTGTACTGTTACAATTAAATTTTGATACATTTTAGAATTATTTTGGCTCCAGTTCACTTGCTGGCAAATTGCAATTTTACGGAATCACTAACTATGAATATTTTTAAGAATACTGTTTGTTATGTACAAGAATAAAGTTATTATAATTTGTATATAACAATAGATTTGTGAACTTTTAATAAAAACACTAAACTTTTTCAAAAGTTTTCACACCATATACGAAATATACTAAGTTTTAAGTAAATAAGGTCTACAAGTGGTCGACAAACAGCACTCGTCACAGCTGGGTGGATACATACACTGCATCCGTTTCATTATTATCTGCTAGCATTTTTCCTGTAAGACAAATTTTGTCTTTTATTCGCGTTTCCTATGACATGTACACTGCAATAATATTATAATACTTAAAGCTAATGCTGACACAGACATGATATATTACGATTGGCTTTTAGCGATCAACTATATCAACGCACGTCTCACACAACATGTCAACTACGGGCGTTATTAGAGAAGTGTCGGACCGCGCGTTTTCGCCTGCTACTGCCCGGTTCCACCAGATGTAAATAATTAATAGCTTGTGATAATAATCAAAACTATTATTTGGTCAACCGTTTAAGCATTGATCAGATTCGTTTATTGCACTGCAATAGAAATATTTCACTTCCGAATGTGGATTCCGTTGATAACTTTTTGTGATATTGTATTTCTTTCGAATGGATGCTTTTGAATGATTTTAACTCTTGTCACAATATATCGACTGTCAACGTTTAACCGCAAAATAGTTAAATGTTATGTTGCCTTTTTGGGAAAGTGTGGATCCTGTACATTGCGCCACACGCTCGTAAAATTGAAGGAAATATCGCAGGTGGATTAAACATTCATGGTGGATAATAGTAGTATTCCTATGGCGTGAACGACTCCATATCAAGTCGAAGGTGGTAATGAGCCAATAGTTTGAACAACCGATTTTTGTCCTCGTCATGACGGTTTGTCACACTTGACTCCGTCTCGGGTGGTAAATGCTGCCGACGTTCGATAAAATACATATTTATGCTCTTGTGTAGAGAATCACTATTTCATTCGAATGAACCAAGTATTATTATTTATTAAGTACAGCTACTTAACCAGTTACTTAAAATGGTACACTCATTAAAATTAAACATAAGAACGGACTAACGGTTATTTTTTTTCTACTTTAGAAGATTTATTGCCACATTTTGGGACTTATGCATATTTGTGAAGCTCATAGTACAGGCAACTCCGCCTTTGATGGTCGATTTGTGGATCGGGTAGCTCATTGACTATCATTGCCGGTCCCAAGCCCGGATAAAGGAGGAGGGGTGAAGGGTGAGGCGATCAACCTGCCCTTTCTAAAAAGACATAAACGCTCACAGAAACGACCTGTCAGCCTCGGAACTCGGGCGGATTAAGGACGACGACACAGCACGAAAAAGGAAAAGGAAAAGAAAAAAAAGCTAGTATGGAAAACGAATGTTATAATATTAGGTAGCTGGAACATTACGTCATGGACCAACGAAGACTACGAGATAATATTCGAAATGGAGAACAACAAAATAGACATCTGCGCTTTCTCGGAAACTAAGAAAAAATGCACTGGAAATCAAAGATGCCAAAACTACACATTATTTTAGGGTGGCGTTGACAAGAACATGAGAGCTAGAGGAGGTGTGGGATTATTGGTCAATAAGAAATTCGAAACGATTATAAAGGAAGTACAATTTATAGATTGCAGCATCATACAAATGACAATGGAACTGGCGGAGGAAACACAATTAGAAAGGCGACTGACAAGACTATTGGAAAAGCCAAAACCAAAAGTACAAAGCCATGGTTTGACAAAGAATGCCCGCAACAACTTCAAAAAAGCCAAGTCATAAGGAATATCCTAATGCAGCACGAGGCAAATGAGAATAATAGAAAGACAAATGAGAATAGAGAAGAATATACTAAATGCCGCAGAGAAACGAGACAGCTGATAAGGAGAAAGAAAAGAGAAAAGGAACGTCGAAAATATAAAATGATGGAAAGAAGCAGACCAAGGCCAGGCTCCAGAGAGTTCTACAAATTAATATATAATGAAGGAAAGGTTTCAATCCCAGATCTGTCATGTATCTGAAAGATGAAAACGTAAACATTATAGTCAACCTTGGTAAAATAATAGAAACCTGGAGAAAGCATTTCAATGATCTTCTGAATATGGAACGGGAAGAACAGCGCATACCTGACTGCAGACTTACCAGTAGAAAAGCCAAGCTACGCTGAAGTACAAACAGCCAGAAATAAGCTAAAAAACTGCAAAGGATAATAATAATTAAATATGGAGGAAACGCACTACACCAAGAAATGCATAAGCTAATAATGCGCATACGGAGATAGGAAAAGTTACCGACTAAATGGCAAGAAAGTATAATAGTTCCCATCCATAAAAAGGGAGACGAGTCAAAGTGCGTTAACTACAGTTATCTAACTACTATCTAGTTATAGTACTACTACTATCTCACTGATACATACTGCCTATAAGGTCTTACAGGAAAATATCCTGTTGGAGAAATTAACACCATTCGCAGAAAACAGTCTAGGGGAATACCAAGCGGGTTTTAGAAGAGAAAGATCAACTATACAGGGTGATTCAAAATTGGCGTCAATCCTTTTAAGGGGTTATAGGGGCTCACTTGGAGAGTAGGAAAAAAATATTGAAATTTTTTTTTCGCAAATTTGTAGAAGATATTAAGAGTTGAAAATCGAATTTTAACTTTGTTATTAAGCATTATTTTGAAGGTGTTCCATGTTTAATGTGTAGCATATTGGAATACTTAACCGCTCGAAAAGAAAAATTACTATCTTTGCTTCAAATTACGAAAATTTTCGATATTAAAAAAACACTCTTCTAC